TGTGTGTGTGTGTGTGTGTATGTGTGTGTGTGTGTGTGTGTGTGTGTGTCTCCAGAGTGCAGTGATTTGCGCTCTCAGCAGCCTGGGTCTCATCCAGACAAATACGTTTGGCAGACATAATGACAGAGCCCAAACTCTCTGTCAGACACACACAAACGCCCTCACTCCTTTTACATGTTCAGTCTTAAAGTTTTACTCTTTACATTTTTAAGACAATCCTCATTCAAAGTTGTTCTATGCTTCCACTGTTTGTAAAATCTAAACAAAGACCTCTCTTACTTGAGGGCTTTTGAACACAGACAACCATCCTCTGATCCCTAATATTGTCAGATATCTCTTCTCATTGAACTCCTGTCTGTGTTTTGGCCCGTCTTAAGACGTCTGGTTTGCATAGCAGCCCCCTGCTTGTGTCTGTGACTAACCTGAAGGGGCTTTTTAACAATCCTGGTCTCTGATACCCAGGGTGTTTCTCAATCTCGAGTAAAGCTGCTTCAGAGCCACTATTTCATGCATACTACGTCATCGAGTGCCGCCGAAGTACTGTTCCAATGTCCAGTATACTTGGAATTCTACAGAGCCCGGCGTACTTCATTTGGAGACATGTCGAGGCTGCCTGTGTACATGTGTAGACTCCGCGGTCTTAAAATCCCCACAATGCTTTGCGCACGGACCAATTTCCCCAAATCTGTGGCGGAAGATGTAAGGCGGGGCCTCTCATATGACGCACACCTGCACACTTGCTCGCCTGTTCCACTCTTAGTTTTCCGAATGCCAGGAAGGATTCTTGCCTCGCTTCTGAAGCAAGACGCTCGGCAGACATGTGCTACCAAGCAAGCGTACTCGACATTGAGAAACACCCTCAATATCTCCTCCTCAAGAAAGACTGAGGGCCGAATGAATCTAGCAAGGTCACAAGGCCTCCTATTGTGTTTGAAATGACACATATTTAACTCTGTTTTGCTTCATTAGACAGTAGAAAGGAATGATTGGGAGGGGATGCTTTTAGGATCAACGTTTTGGGATGCATTGGTTTGGGCGTTAGTCTGTTGGGCCATAGACAAATCATCTTTCTCCAGTTTTCTTTTCCAAGTCTGACTTTCTCTGTAGTGGAAAATAATAATAATTGTGAAACTGTGGCACAGGCCTGACAGAGGATCGTTCGTTCTGCCTGTTATCCTTTGTTTCTCTGCCACAAGATGACATAAAGAAAGATGGATGCACAGCTGATGAGCCAACCCAGCATAAAGTTAACCATTTTTTTCCCCAAGTATTATTATTGTATAGTTTGTGTTTGGCAGGCACGTAGAAGTCAGAATAAAATATGTGTGTTACAGACAGAAGAAAAGACTTGGGTCAGAGCTGCTGGTAATTCGTTGAAATGTGTTAAAGTGTGGGAGAGGGGAATGTGAGGGGGAAAAATAAATGTTTTGTTGATGAAATGCTTTATAATTGTTGAATATAAAAACTGCACAATGTAGTACAAAGTCTGAATGCATTTCCTAATGAGTATGTGTGTTTGTTTTTCACATGGTATATAAATAAACTCCTGTTTTGTTACCAGTCAATCAATACCCACGGAGCAGCTGTTCTCTCTCTTGGTTAGGTTTAGTATTTACATTTAAACGTTTTTGGTTCATATATTATCTCAGTATAGTAACACTACTTTTGTGCATCAGATGTGTGTATGTTTATTGAGAGGGCTAGTTTAGACCTGCACTCTCCTTGGGGGTATGTTTGGGGTTCCTATTCGAGCCTTCTTCTTCACAAAGCCCTACTTCCCCTTTTGAGGCCCCACACACACACACACACACACACACACACACACACACACACACACACACACACACACACACACACACACACACACACACACACACCCCCCAAAACAACGTGACGTGTGCAAAGTCTTTTTTCGTGCACATTCGCTGATGAACACGCACACATGCTCTCGGATACTTTTAGTGGCTGGAGTGGAGGATGTGACAGAAGTGGCCTCCGGTGATTTAGTGCTTCCTGGTGAAGGTCACATTGAAGGAAGGATTTGTTTAACTGGAGGAGTTAAAAGGGAGGGAGGGGTGGAGGGGAAAGGAGGCTAAGAAAGAGGGAGGAAGTAAGAGGATTGAGAGAAGGGAAAAGGTTGTCACAAATAATGGACTCACTGGGAACACAATCTGCCTCCTCTACTCTCTTCTTGTTCTGCCTTTGAATTCATTCAGACCGACAGCAATATAAGAAATAGGAAGAAGCAAAGAATAAAGGGGACATCAATTGAAAAATTGTGTCCTTTTGAAAAGCCTCACACAAAGCGTGTCTTCAATATATTTTTGGCATTGAAATCAAACTCATAGATACTCTATTTGAGTTAATAGGCCATGACTTCTTAAAGGATAAACCCACGTGTTGCAAGTCTAAAGACATTTTCAGCTTTGCTCTGTTCACGTTAAACTGAAAGCTGATACCTCCACGCATCCTCGGCTAACTCGCCCACAAAAATCTGTCCAGAAAAATAAATAAAAACATCCCTTAGCTGCCCTTAAATCATAGCAAGACTTGAAAACACCCCAAAGAATGTGTGTTGTGTCCACTAGTGAATAATCTTTTTCTGTAATATGTGTCAGTAAGGCATGTGCAGGCATTCAGGAGGGTGTGTGTGTGTGTGTGTGTGTGGAGGTTGCTTAGTGTTATAAACACCAGTGGAGTTTGTTTACATGCTCGGTATTGCTTTGGGAAGCTGTCGGTTACCAAGATACTCACGGATGTTAAGTGTGTGTACAGCAAAGAGGAAAGAGTGTGAGTGGACACATTTGTGTGCATGTGTGTGAGCGATTACTATACTTTAATAGTCTACTGCTAACTGTCCGTCCAGATTTCAAAAGCAGCTCGCCAGGAAGTGTAATTTCCTGCTCAAGAGACTGATTCAGCAGCATCCAGCTGTTGTGTTTGTGTGGAGAGCATGGGAGACGGGGAGATGAGCTAACTGCCTGTTTTTTTCCATACAACTCCTCAGTAGTTGTTTTTCCAGGTGCCACAGACCCCCTTCCCCACCTTACCAGCCGAACCCCCACCAATCACTGCTCCCCCCTCTCCCCAGTTGCTCTTTTTCACACTTTTAAGTAGGAAACTCCAGCTCCATAATTCCCCCCAGAGCCCACGAAAGAGCATATGTCCACGCTCTCCGTCTAAATTGTAATAATCTTTTAATATGTGTCTTTCTCTCTGTGGTTATTCTGAAAACGTTGCACCTTCTAGGTATGCAGTGTTGGAGTTGAATAAAGAGGGTTATAAGCTGTGTTGGCAGAGTTTTCATAAATGCTTAAACAAATCTGAGAAATAACTTAAAGTAATTATATGAGTACAAGATCTTGGCTACTTTAGATTGTTACCTTACTGTTCTTTTCAATTCCCTTTTTAGATACAAATCCACATGGTTTATAAGTATAACTGACCCTGACAGTTCCTCTCAATACACAGGAGCTTTGTATAGTAGAGAATAAGCCTGTGGTTAGTGACCACAGTATTCTACTTACTTAAAGGGGACCTATCATGCAAAATGCACTTTTGTACGTCTTTTATACATGAATATGTGTCCCCGGTGTTCCAGGGAACTCACCAAGTGTCAGAAAACACAACCCTCTCTATTTTCCTCCATACCCAAATCTCTAAAAAAGGGGCTGCAACGGATCTGATAAAAACTGATCCAGATTTGAACACTGTCCTGACGTCAGGACAGTGGCGCTACGGCTATTGGGCCAACTCCACCAATCAGGAGGAGACAGCCACGGCCATTGCCGTTTGAAAGCGCTGGAGACGCTGTAGTACATATGCCAGGCCTGTAGATGGTGCTGTTCTCACAGAATCAGCCCTTGCAAAAACAGGGCTAAAAAAGTGAGAATTGAGCGAAATGAGGCATGGCTAAAATGCATGATCTGTTTGGTATTTTGAAATAAAAAAAGTATAAATATGCCTTATATAGGTATGGTCCTACACTATATTATTATAATATAGCATGATAGGTCCACTTTAATGTATGTAATTGCAGTAAGTATGGGCATGCATGTGTAGGCGGGGCACAGCTCTGAGGAATGTGTTGCCCCTGTGGGGGGTCAGGGAAACAGAGCGAGGGAGAATAAGGAAATAAGAAGTCAATTAAAAATAACTAGAAGTAATTTAAAGAGGGGGGGAGAGTATTAAACAAAACATTAAATAAAGAATGTGAGGGACACAAGGTCTACAGCACAATGTGTTTACCTAGTGAGGTCTGTGGCGTGTGACTTGTGTTTGTTTATTGCTTGACTTCTTTTACTGTGCAATGCCCTCCAACTAAAAGCTTTAATTTAATAAAACGTACAAACCCTAAGCTACAAATTACTGAAATTAAAAACGGTATTCTACTTCCACAAGAGCCACCTGAGGAGAATTTGCTTTAGGGAAGCAGTGTTGAGAAAGTGTCTTTGTTTACATCGTTATTGCCTCTACAAAGATAATGTATAATTTTCTCTGGAGCACAAGCAAAATAAAACAGTGATGGAAAGCACCAGGTGTTTCCTCCTGCCGACACACCTGTCTATCTTTCACTGAGTCGTGATTAGTCAGCGAGGTCAGAGAACAGTCTTTGTAGCTCTGCCGTGACGAGAGAGGGAGTCACATCTTGTTTTCTACTTTGCCGGTTTAACCTTCCCCGCTTCCTCCTTTTGATCTGTGTATTTGAAGTGGCAGGAAGTTAGGTGCTGTTTTGCAGCTTTTTTGATGATTAAGCCCTCATAAGCCCTCTTATCAGCTGTCTTCTGCATGAAGCTGGAGGGAGAGTGTCTTACACATATCCAATTCTATATATAAGCACACGGATACATGCACTCATATGCACTCACATTCACAGTTACCCAGTTCTTGTTAACCGCCTTAATGATTGACTTTCTGTTTCTCTGTTTTCCTTTTCCTACTTTTGCACCCTCTCTCCTCCCTCCCCCTCTATCTCCCTCCCTCCCCCTGCTGACTCGCAGGTGGTGTCCTCCTGTCAGAAACACACACTCCCGCCTGACACATGGCTGACAGCAGGAGACGGAAGGGAAGAGAGTGACTACGGGACAGACAGAGATCCAGAAACACTCGCACACAGAGAGAAAGAGGCAATCAGCCATCTGTGGTCAGTCCCCTGCTACTCTGCAGCTGTGTTGGAGTCAGCGAGCGGTTCTCAGCGACGTCAGGACTTCAGACACCAGGGAGTGAGATACAACTCATGCTCAGATGATGAGCCTCGGCTAGGGCAATGTTAAGGCCTCGCTGGCCTTGGATTAGGCCCCTGGGGCTGCTTCTTTGGAGGGGTGGCTGATACCCCAGCTGGATCTTCCGCTGTCGCCATCCTCTACAGCTGTCATTAGTGGCTAATGAGCTGCTTCTAGAGAGGAAACGGAGAAGGTGCCTGTGGAGAGAGGAGGTTCCTTACAGCTGTTATTAAGAGGCCCAGAGCTCTCAGACAAGGAATTCTTCTTTATTTCTTCCTCTGCAAGAAAGTGGAGCCCTTTTAAAGCTCTTTGGATTTAAGGATGAAAGGATATATCGACTGGATGTTTTTTTTGTAGACATTTCTCTGTAAGATGGTAATTATGCAGTTGAAAGACTTATTTTTTTTTTCAGCTTAACTTTTTTTAAACTCTCAACTAAGAGAGAGATATAATCCATCAATTATTTGGTTGCAGTAATACTGTTTTTGATTTACACTTGACTTATTTTGACCTTCCTATGCCCTGAGGCACCATGGCAGCAGCCTATCGTGTGGTAGTGAGCAGTGTGAGCTGCTACAACAGTGTGGTGGTGGACCGGCGCACTCACGCCCACGCCGTGCACTACTGCTCGGGGCCGTGTGGGGCTCTGTCCCAGGGCCTGGACTGCTCTGTCGCTCACCACGGCACGTGTTCGGAGCTGCTTGTCGCGCCTGATGCTGCGTACACTGACCCAAATAACTCACTCATACACTCCCATAACATGATCACCCAACAACTTCCCCACCATGGTAAAATGACTGTCACCATGGATACTAGTTATAATGGTGGTCTAGAGAGGGCGGACAGCAGTGGAAATTTGTCATTAGGGGAGGAGAGCCCCACATGGCGAGGTAAAAAGCCCTCCAGTGGCGGAGGATCCACTGGGAACCTGAGCTCCTCTAGCAGTCTGAAGGACATTACGGAAGAGGCCATCAATCTGGCCAGTGGTAGAGTTAAAGAGTTTTCTTTTGATAAGCTCCGCCTCTCTTCCTCCAGTCATGTCACCTTCCGGAAAGGTCGTAAAGTCCGTCCTGACTCTCTCAGCCGCCGCTCCACCGACCTGGAGATCATCTACGGCCACTTCAGCTCAAACGTCACCACAAACGGGACTGTTAACGGCATGACGAATGGCTCGGGTACGTCCAACGATGAGAACCTGCCACCATTTGTACCAGGGAAGGTAGCAAGCCTGGAGGAGACGAAGCTAAAGGGCAGCACAGCCACCTTGTCGTCCATCGCCAAAATGAGTGCTGGATCAACAGGCAGCCTACCAAGTTTTGTGTCGTTGGACCAAAGTCTGAACACAATGGCCTCTTTGTACCGCAACACCCTAGGAGAGGAGAACCTGATTGCCCGTCTGCTGGAGAAAACACGAGCAGAGGCGGGCTCTGGAGCAGGCGGCGAGGACATCCGTGCCTGCCTTGATATCCTTCTCAAATGTTCTGAAGACTTAAAGAAATGCACCGACATCATCAAGCAGTGCATCAGACACAAAGGCGGTGATGGGCCAGATGATGGAGAAGCCAGTCCGGACAGTGTATATCGGGCCGTGATGACCCGACTCAGCTCCTATTTAAAGAGATTACCTCTGGAGCTGGAGGGAATAGGACATTTGGGAGGCAGTGTGCCGGGTACGCCTGGAGGCGGGCACAGTGATCTTGCTGAGCTGGTCAGCACTCTTCACTCCTTTCAGCAGGGACCGTACTCTCCAATATTTGGCAATGAGCAACCCCCTCGCTATGAGGATGTGGTGCTGTCACCGCCCATCCCAAAGATCGTTCCTCATTCTGCTTCCTCCTCATCCACCTCTTTGTCTTCTTTAAAGTCTGACTCCATCCATACGAAACCAATCCAAAGTTCCCCGTCCAGAGCCACTCCACTTACCAATGGACTACAACATCCACACCCTCCTTCTATCACACAACACACGCTCTCTCCACCATCTATCACATGTTCTCCAGCCAGCTACTCACCAACACGCTCTCCCTCTCCTCTTCGTACCTCGCCCACCCCACCGTACACACACACTCCATCAGTTTCCCCCATGGAGGCTCTTTATATTGAGGAGGAAGAAGCAGATGGGGCAAAGACACCAGAACAATTTCCAAATCAGACACACGCTCCAACCAGAGGTGTGAATGCTATGCAGAACAACAATGGGATGACATTGGGTCAACACATGCAAATGTCCCATCCACAAACTTTCCATAACTCTCCAAATACTTTATCGGCCAGCACTGGCTACAGCCCCGCTTGGCCTTCCTCTGCCTCAGTCCCAGCAGTCTCACACAGGAATGATGACATTGACAAGCTGCTGATGGACTTGGAGAATCTGTCTCAGAGTATGAGCCACCCCAGAAACACTGAGCCACCACTTCCAGCCAAAACCAGGAAGAGAGAAGTAGGCAAGGCTATCACTTCCGTTGATGCCCTCACTAAGTCTAAAATGGCCCAGTTCGAAGCCCAAAAACCAGCCAGCCACTTAGCGATGAATGGCCCTACCTCCAGGACTGCCCAGAGCCCCAGTCCCCCTCAGGGAGATAACAGTGTAGCTGTGGTGGGAGAGGAGGAGGATGGGGCACTGCTGCTGAGGATCCTGGAGAGCATTGAGAGTTTTGCCCAGGAGCTGGTGGATTCTGGGGCGGGGAGCACAGGGAGCGCTGAGAGGAAAAGTGGGAAGGAGCGGGAGGTGATGAGGCTCCTGCAGGATACAATGGCCACCACTGGCAGGGCTGATACTCCTGTGGAGAGCACAAGCCCAACACCTGCTCCCATTGCTCCATACATGCACACACATGCACCTACAAAAATACCAGCTATACCGCCCAAACTCTCCCTAGCAAATGCACCTGCAGTTTCACCGAAACCTCTAATTTCTGTGTCTGAAGTTGCGTGCAATGCTCCATCCGAACCCGTCCCTAAACCTATACCTGAAGCTGCCCCAAAACCTCTGCCTGCCCCCATACCTGAGTCTATAACTGAGTCTACAGATACAGTTACAGAAGCCTCTACAGGAGCAGCTGATCCAACATCCCTCCCTGTAACGTCTGCATCTGCAAGCTTGCATTCCTCAGCTGAACCCTCGCCTGTGGCAGCACCTGAAGCTCCAGCTGCTGTTAGCATCCCCATTGCAGTAGCCTCAAGAGATGCTGATGTTGCTGTTGTTGACGCTGCTGCTGTGAGAGACACCGGGTCGACCCTCCTCATCCAGCAGACTCCAGAAGTGATCAGAGTAAGTGAAAGACACACCCTAAATGACATCCAGAGAGAACGTTAGACATTTACTGTACTGTACAGTTTCACACGGTTAAAGCTGTATCAAAAACCCACACAAAGAACATGAATTGTTTCAGTCGTTTCATTTTAAAAACCTCTAGGTTATGGTTTTAAAGGGATTCCAGGGATTTAGATCATGTAATTTCAGCGAACTGCACATCTGAGACCTTAATTATTATTCTTTTATCTGGTAGACAACAATTAGTAATAATTAAATCCTGCTTTCTCTCGCTGAAACAGTAGCTTGCTGTTTTGTAGAAGGCAATGCCACTTGCTATTTGTAATAAAGTACCACACAAATTGGTGGAGTGGATATCAGCAAATGAGCTGATGACCTAAATCAAGAGTTATGATCAAAATTCACAGCAACAGGATCTAAATGTGTCTTTAAATGTAACTGTTGCCATGGTGCAAGAAGCACACGGAGAGGCAGGTCTGAGAGTGACTGCTGGGCATGGAGGAACAGAGAGGGGTTGAACATCATTAGATGGAGGATAGACAAGTCAAAGGAAAGCTTTGATTACGTCCAACACATTTGACATATAACGCCCAGGCAAGGATTTTATGGTTTTGACACAACGGGGTTGATGCCACTATAATTGATGTGCCGTGATGAACAGTATTCATTAGCTGCGATGAACACGCTGATAGTTTTCCTATCTGGGATCTAATGAAAAGGCCACCGCTCTGAATCATGGAACAGATCAGCTCATTGTGTTAGGAGGGGCTCTTTGTTGACTTTTACTGGTTTCTAACTTGTGCTTTGAACTGTGAATGTGTATATGTGAGTGTGTGCGTGTAGGCGTGTGTGTGTGTATGTGTGTTTACTCTCCTTTCCACCCTGGGGAATATTTAAAGGTAATTTAGGGTTGTGCTAAAGAGTGAGAGAGGGTAGGGCAATTGGTGTGTGTGTGTGTGTGTGTGTGTGTGTGTGTGTGTGTGTGTGTGTGTGTGTGTGTGTGGTGTGTGTGTGTGTGTGGGTGTGTGTGGTGTGTGTGTGTGGATGTGTGTGTGTGTGTGTGTGTGTGTGTGTGGTGTGTGGTGTGTGTGCTGTGTGTGTGGTGTGTGTGTGTGTGTGTGTGTGTGTGTGTGTGGTGTGTGGTGTGTTTGTGTGTGTGTGTGTGTGTGTGTGTGTGTGTGTGTGTGTGGTGTGTGTGTGTGTGTGTGTGTGTTGTGGCGCTTTTAGCTAATTCTCTGTGACAGACACAAACCCCCCTTCGCACAGACTCAGAGCATGTAATCATTATGTGCTTATTTTCTTGGCTCTCCCTCCTTGTCCACACCAGTTTCCCGCCGCTGTTTATTTCCTGAGCGGTGTAACCTTATGCCCTGCCTATATCTAGGGCACCTATTTATGAGGTTACCATGGTAGCTGCCACAGCCAGAAAGGAACAGCTAGCAACCGAAACATATCACACAATTTCATTCCTCATCGTCCTTTGTCTGCCTATCCATCTCCCCTTCCTCTCTGTTTTCTGCTACTCTGCCACCACATTTCTTAGAAGCCTTTCTGACATCCTTCAGTCTACTTTTTCCTCTCTTTTCCTGCATCAGCGCCCTTTTGTTTTTCCTCCTGGGTGTCCTTCTTTCACCTGTGTTGGGGCTACATTGACCAAAACTCCTCCCCCCTCCCTGTGATTGGATGTTGTGTTATTTTGAGAGCCTTGAATAACAGTTGTTGCTGTGTGCAGGGCAGAGCAACCCAATAAGAGGTGCTGATTGGAGCACAGCAGTGGAGGGAGGAGGGCGGGGCAGGTGGGATAGGGTGGGGGGGGGGGGGGGGCATCTGTTGGCACACTGAGTGTTAATGGTATCGTTACCCCTCCGTCCCCCTCTACCCCTGGCAGTCATAGGTGTGAGGAAGACCTAAATCTGTCCACCCCTCTGTACTATGGCATCCCGCTAACAGACTCACTGTCGCCACAGTGTAAATGGACCTGCATATGTGTGTGTATGTGTGTGTCAGAGAGATGGTGTACATGTTTGTTTTTGTCCAAAGTATGCATCCAGGTTTTATTACATGTCCAGGTGTTCAAAAATGTGTGTGCATTTACATATGTGTTCATGCATGTGAATAATGCGTACAGGTGTTTTCACATGAATCCCATTTGAATGCATGTGTGCTTGACCAAGCATGTGTCTGTTTGTTGGCCTGAGGGTAAGTTGACCCAGTGCTACTGTGGGTCACAGCTGAGTTTCGGAATAGCTCTCTGACACCCAATACCAACGCTGGCTCTCTGGGAATTATGCTAATATTCCCCAGCGCCAACCCCGCCTCCAGCCTCAGTTTCACATCAAACTGTCAGTCAAACTATAAACAAGACAAGGCCACCTCACACACAAGTGAGAAAATGCCCTTGGACCCTCATGCACAACTATACTACACACTCCACCTTGGAGATTTGTAGCTGTGTTTCCCTTGGCATTGCCGTGGGTTTCATGGGAAGCTCTGCTAAGCCCCCTGGGATGACACTGGCCTGAGGCAGCATCCTCATCTGTGTGCCTGCGTTTGTGCACAAGTGTGTTTATTGTTGATTCTGCTGCTGACAGACTAATACAGCGCTTTCTGCACCTGTCAGAGCAGACCCATTAATATCCATGGAGACAAGGAAGCAAGCTGATATAAATCAGAGGCAAGGCCGCAACAGTCAAACTCAGAGCGGGGGGGATGTGGAAGCAGTGATGCTGGGACTCGAGTTGGCTAAATCCTTTAGTGCTACTTGAGGTCAGCGTGGCCTTGCAGTGGCAGTTCGTCTGTTTTCTCTTCCCCGTCTCTGTTTTTGGCAAATACGGGAAGAGACATTTAAGATCACGTTTCCCTGCACTTAAACCTGACCTGAATGTTTTTGTTTCAGTGTGGCTGTCCAGTGCCAATGGTGACATGATTTACACACGATCACACACGACACATACACGTACTCTCCTGGCTGTATCCAGAGCTGACATTCTGATGGCTTAATTAACCCACTGCTGATTTCAGTGTATTTGCTGTGGATGTGTTGCTAGGTAATAAAATAGCTGCTCCATTACAGCTGTAGTTAGGGTGTGCTGGATACTCCCCCAAAGAAATTGCTAAAATAGTTGTGTTACTTCACCTCATACGTTGTCCATACTTGAGTCTGTGCCATCATTGGGTCATCCTCCGCTGAAAATATTTTTTAAAACTGTAACTGCTAAGATGTCCTTTGCCAAATTGACAGCTTCCTTTAGCGGATACATTTTCATTTATAGCGTCAATGTGACAAAAACATTGTGTGAGTTTTTGAGCCATATCAAAACTTTCATTTGCGAAATCACACACCCCTAAAGCTAGAAGAATATTACAGCCAACCCAGACTCCAGGCTAAATTAAGCACAGTCTGTACCTGTGCGGTGTCATCTGCCTGGTCAGTAAAAGTTTTATAATTCACTTAATGATAGTAGAATTAGTCTGTCAAGAAACCTGATCTTCATATTCATACAGTTTCTTATTTTCTCCTCTGCAAATAACAGTGCGACTGTATTGGTCATGAGTCACTGCCTTCATTAAAGTGTCCAGGAGATAAAGGCCACTAAAGGGCAAGTTGGCATAACACAGCTGGTTGTTAAGGAAGAGATGAGGGAATTTTGCAGCACATATTTTAAGCCACTTTATGAAAGGAACTCGTTAACCTTTAGACAGAGACTTGCTACTTTTTGTCCCAAGGAGCGTCGAAAGGAGCATAGAATGAGTGGTAGAGAAACCCGTGGACATAGTTAGGAAATAACAGGAAGACAGGAAAGAGGAATGAATGAGACTGTCTGTGTGAGACAGCGGGACAGGGACTCGTTTTTGTCTAAGAAGTTCAAAGGTAGTCATAGAAGAAGAGGAACAAGCAAAGAAAAAGAACGGAGATGAGAAAAGGACTCATGGTGCTGCTGGGGGAGGGGGATGGTGTTAGCCAGTGTGTGTGTGTGTGTGTGTGTGGGGGGGGGGGGGGCTGGAGCGTACAGTTGTTGACTTTGGGTCGACTGAGTATGACATCATTCCTCGGCTGATTCCACAGGAAATAAGGTCACAGTGGGAGTCTCGGCCAAGCGGGGAAAGACGCCCGTTACAAGCTAGGTGCACAAGCACACAGATGAATGCATTCATTTATTTATATATGCACGCACGCACGCACGCACGCACGCACGCACACACACACACATACACATACACATACACACACACATACACACACACATACACACACACATACACATACACATACACACACGCACACACACAATGCACTCCCAAACTGGGGCTTGTGTTTCCAACATGGTTCATACCATCCAATTTTAACCTGAACAATTAAATATTCTTCCATACACTCTAAGCACACAGAAAATGAGCAGTTAACTTCACATTTGGCAGGGATACGTTTACACACACACACACAGAACTTTTAAGAAAGTGACATCATCATTCACCACTCCCACTGCCTGCTGGGATAGCATCCAGCAGCAGCTAGTGCACTCTTGATGCTTGTACGCACACACACATGGGCAAGTCACTTTTTCATCTGAAATGATTTACGCTTAGTGGGAGGCTTAGCTGCGTAAGTGTTTGGGCCTCCCTCTCTGTCACCATGGAAACCACCACAACATGTTTATAAGTAGTTGATGGGACTCCCCTTACCGAGATTATCAGTTGTGCAATCAGACTGGCTGATCGGGGGGGCTCCCCCGCAGAACCCCGGCACCAGGGGAGATCAAATGGAGACTGGATGAGTTTTATTTCAGAACTCTGACTGTGTTGATGTGGGTGTGGCGGATTGTGTGAACTTTAACTGTGTTTGAGACAGCGTGTGTACGTGTTGCAAAATGTTCCAGGACATTATGACTCGTTAGAAGCTTGGGTGTCAACTGCTCCCCCCCCCCCCCATCTCCTTAGCCTCCCTTTTTAAATTCACCCTTTAAACTCACCCTTCACCCAGCTCCACCCAAACTGGG